GTCAGTTATCACTAAATGTAAATTTATTTTAGTAGAGGTGAAAAATTTGGGATATAAAAAATTACTCCCTAAAATAAATGTAAGAAATATATTTAACAAGGTGATAGGGAGATGGGTAGATGATAGATAAATAGCTGATAGATTTGTGGAGAGGGGTTGAAAATAGGAAGTAGGCCAAATAATGAGGGAATGGAAAGGGTTCAGTTGTGAAATAATTCCATGTGGTAAATGTAATCATTATATGCTACACACATGCAGTAAGAACAATTAAAATGTAAAAATTTAAATTAAATAAAAATTTTAAAAATGTGTTCATAATTCAGGCTCACTGATATATTTTTGAAGAGTTTTTGTTCTTTTATCTATGCATGTTGCTTCCCTGCATATTAAGCTGTAGGCAAATATCCCAAGTGCTGGGATAGGGATCATTCACCTCCTGTACTGCTAGAGGAGACCTAAGAGATAAAGGCTTTATTCCCATGTGGGTTTACATAGGTGGTGGGAGAGAAGGTGAGCAGAAGAAAGCACATCAATCCCTTCCAGGTACAACTCAGCCATTGTACTTCTGGGACTGAGGCTCCATCAGACGGGTCATCAAGTTTCATAGAGGAGGAAAGAGGCAAAATTAGGTGTTTTGTTTGTTTCATCATATGTGGTCCTAGAAGCATAGGCAGAAACTTGACTTGAAAAGAAAAAAATTTCTATCAAGGGAAGTAGATGGCTGATCCACATCATGAAACACACCAGAAGTGATGGTACTTCTGTTATAATAATTTGCATCAAGACTGACTCCATAATGTTAGATTATGAATATTCTGTAGAAACTAGACATGCTAAAACAATGGTGGCACAGCTCTTTTTTGGGGGGAGAGGGAGCCTTCAATTTTGTCTAGTACCTCTAACAAATTTCCTTCTCTGTTACATGTTGTGGGCCACAAAAGTAGTCAGTAAGGAACCCTTCATCCTTTGCCCAAGTGTGCCCTTCAGTTATTGAGTCTGCTTTGTCAAGATGCTGATGTTGTGACGAACATAAAAAATGTTTAGAGTTGGTATGGACTGTTTTGACATGCTCAGCATCTGCTTGAGTGCTCTCAAATGTGGCCTATCTCAATATTTGTCCTTCTTATCACTGTGGAACATGAAGATAATGTTTACCTTTCCCTATGGGGCAACCTAATCAACCAGGAGAAGTACATGAAATGGTGTTTTGCAAGATCCTTGCTATCATGCAACAGAGGACAATAATCTCAAGAAGAGAATAATTAACAAATTGACCCTTATGTTTACTTCAGGACACTGTATGAGAATAAATTCAGATAAAGTCCAGGAGACTCTCCAAGTTGAGGATACAGAAGTACGAGTTCCAAGTCAGCAAGGCAGTGAATTTAACAAAATAGAGGAGCAGGGAACACAGGAAAACAACCCCAGGGACTTTCACACTGCCTCCTTCCAGTACTTGGCTGATGACTTTGAGCACTGCATGGAGGTAAAACAACTCTCAGAACTAGGGAAAACACTACCTGAAAACTGTAGTGGGAGTAGTACCTGGCAATCACATCAGGACAGTTAGAGTATATGCACTGATCACCACTAGAAAAATATATAATTCACAATGAATTAAGAGGTGTAGAAGTGTTAAATAATTAGTATTACATTAAATAATGTTCCATTCCCATCTAGCAAATTTTAAAATTGATACTCAAAAAGATCACACTATTTCTGAACTGAAACCCAAAATAAAACTCAAGAATATTTATAGGAGTACAGAAATACCCAGAAGCTCCCCAAATAAAATTCACAGTATCTGACTGCTAATCAAAAATTAGTAAGCAGGCAAACAAATAGGCAAAGGCAATGGATAATGAGGAAGGAAGCCAATCTATTGAGATGCACACAGAACTGATACAGATGTTTCAATTAACAGACAGAAATATAAAAGCAGTTTTCATAACTGCTTTTGCATTTTCCCCCATAAGTTAAAAAATTATGCAGAAATATATAGGAAAAATTTTTAAACTGATTCAAACTTCTGGATATGAAAACAAAAATGAAATGAAAAGTACATTGTATAGTATTAATAGCAGATAGGTTCTTGCAGAAGAAATATTGAGTGAATTTGAAAATAAGACAACATAGTGTCCAAAACAGAGCACATAGGATGGAAAGGATTAAAGAAGTAAGTAAAACAGCATTAGTGAGCTGTGGAGCAACTTCAGTCAATGTAAACTGATGTATCTGAAAGACAGAAGAGAAGCACAGAAGAAAATAATTAAAGAATTGGCCGTTTTTGAAAATTGTATAGAGAGTATTTGCCTGGCCCTAAGATATTGCACCCTGGCCCTAAAAAGCAAAGATGAAAATGTAAGTCCAGAGCATTAAAATAGTAAATAATAAATATAAAAGAAAAATTACCTGTACCAAAACAAATCATAATACTATGAAGATTTTTTAGCTATTAGTTCAATGTTTGATGTTTAATGAAGATTATCTATTTCTTATTGAGAAAACTTTGGTTGCTTATTTCAAGGAATTGGTCCATTTCACTTAAGTCATTGATCATCTGAATTATACCAAAGATTAATGAAAGGAATAAAGTGGCTGCAAGCAGGAGCAGAGCCCGGGGGTTCGATCCCTGGCTTGTTTTGCTGGCCCCACCCCCAGGGCACACTGAAACAGCAATTGAGACTGGGTGTGATGGCGCATGCCCATAATCCCAGCTCTTGGGAGGCTGTAAACAGGTGGATTACTATGAATCTGATGTAGTAGTAAGACCCTGAACACACTATAGACCTTTCCCTAAAATACAAAAAAAAAGAGAAAGAATACTAATCATCATCATCATCATCATCATCATCATCATCATCATCACCATCATCATCATCATAAATTCTTCCAGAAAATTGAAAAACAAAAACTATATCTAATTTATTAAGTGGTTCTAAAAGAGATCAAAAACAGAGTCACATATACTTAGACCATTGTTTTGTGGGTTTTTTTTTTTTACATATATTCCAAGTCAGTTCTATGAGAAAGAAGGATGTTCAGTGGTGCCAAATTATTATAATCCCACAACTCAGGAAGCTGAGGAATGAGGACTGTAAACTTAGTCCAGTATGCACTATGTGTCAAATTCAAGGCCACCTTGAACTACACAGTAGGAGCCTACCTGAAAAGCAAACTTTTTTAAAAAGGAGAAGAGAGAAGAGAATGGACAATATTTGATCCCAGATGTTACAATAATTGGATATATAAATGTACATATATCCTACCATGTGCATAAACTCTAAAAGAATTATAGACTTAAAGGTAACTCTAAAACAATAGAACTTCTTGAAGAAAAAATGGAAAGAAGCTTTGTGATCTTGGGTTAGCCAAAGATTTATTAGAATACCAAAAGCATGACCCATAAAACAAATCCTCAAAATTGATAAATTGTATTTCATTAGAATGAAATGTATCTTCTCTTTGAAAGACTTTATTAAGAACATTAAAAGACAAGCTACAGACTGGGAAAAATATTTGCAAATCATAAGTCTTATAAGGAATCTATATCCAGAATCTGGAAAGGACATTTTAAATGTAATAAGAAGAAAACAACCCAATTTCATAATTGAGAAAAGATTTGAGAACATTTTTTACTAAAGATATCTATCTATATGCCAAATAAGGACATGAAAATATGTCAATATCACTTTCATTAAGGAAATGCAAATCAAACCGTATCACTACACACCTACCACACACACTAATTTTAATGTGATTGATCATACCAAGAACCCATGAGAATAGAAAACTACTAAACTATAAGATAGTACAACCATTTTAGAGGAGAGTTGGGTAGTTTCTTTAAAAGTTAACACATGCCTGCTTTGGCAAGTGCAGGAATCAGGGTTCGATTCCCGGTCCCATGTGCCACACTGGCCCCACCCCCAGGGCACGCTGAGCTGGAACTGAGCCCAGACAGTGGTGTGCACCTATCATCCCACTGCTGGGGAGATTGAAAATAGGAGAATCACTATGAATTTAAGCTGCATAGTGAGACCCAGTATAAAATACATAAAAAGAAAAAGAAAATTAACATACACTTACCATATATATTATCCAGGCATTCTAATCCTCTGTAGAGATGAATGCATATATATTCATATAGAGAATTATGTGTAAATATTCATAACTGCTTTGTTTGTAATGGCCAAAACCAGAACACAACTAAATAAATGTCCCTCAGTAGATGAATTAGTCATGAAAGAGAGTAGTAATCAGAATAAAGAAAAATAAACAGTTCCCAGGGAGATAGCTCAGTGGCATGAGTACCTAGCTGACAAACAGAAGATCATGAGTTTGATCCCCAGTACAAAAAAAGGGGGGCCAGGGAAATGGCTCAGTAGAATAAGTGCTTGCCTGGCAAGAGCAAGGGCCTGAGTTCAACCCAGTTCTAAAAAAAAAAAAAAAAAAGATAAGTTCAATAATTAGTACATATCCCAAAGTAGTAATCTTGAATGAGAGAAGCCAAATAAAAAGAAGGGTGTGTGCTATATAATTTCTATTGATAGAATTCTAAATTCTATTTTATTGTGAATTCTAAAAAATACCAACTAACTTACACTAATGGAAGAAAGCTCATGCCTGCCAAGGAGAGGGGAGAGAAAGGAGCAGAGATTACAGTGGGGTGAGAGGACATGTGTGGGCCCCTGACATGCTCACTCTTTTGGTTATATTGATGGCTTTATGTTCATATATGTGGGTTAAAACTATCAAATTGTACAGGGAAATATATGCAGCTTGGTATTTATTGATTATACCTCAATAAAAGCTATTATAAAATCATCAACCACTTTTAGCTCAACTTACCTTCATTTTTTCACTGCTTAACATGAATCCTTAATTAAACTTTTGCTTTCTATTATTTTCTTCAAGAGATTATTTTCTATTTAATTATAAAGTTCACAAAAATGTCTTAGGAATGGTACCAGTGCCACTTAGCTATAGAGTGAAAGTATGTGCTTGCTTCAGCGGCACATATGCTAAAATTGGAATGATACAGAGAAGATTAGCATGGCCCCTGTGCAAGGATGACAGGCAAAGGCATGTTTTTCTCTCTCTTTCATTAAACTTTGTTTTAATAGGTCTCAAAATTCTGTGACAGATTTTTGGTCAAGTTGTTTCCATTAAAAAGTATTGATTTTAAAAACTAATAACTTGAAAACTGCCACACCACACACACACACACACACACACACACACAAAATGGTCCACAAAACATTCTCCTTTCCTTCTGAAGGTTTTATGATGCATTGTTATCATTAACCAGTCTTTCACTATTAAACTTAAATGGCCAATTGGAAGAAAAAGTTCTGAGATTGGTCTTCTGCCACTGATTAAGACTGGGGTGGCAGGTGTCAGGATAATATTCATTTAGGCTTCTGAGCTTTCTGGGCAGACTTGGTGACCTTGCCAGCTCCAGCAGCCTTCTTGTCCACAGCTTTGATGACACCCACAGCAACTGTCCGTCTCATATCACAAACAGCAAAACGACCCAGAGGTGGATAATCAGAGAAGCTCTCCACACACATGGGCTTGCCTGGAACCATGTCAACAATGGCAGCATCACCAGATTTCAGAAACTTGGGCCCGTCTTCCAGCTTCTTACCAGACAGGTGATCAATCTTTTCTTTCAGCTCAGCAAACTTGCAAGCAATGTGAGCTGTGTGACAATCCAGGACAGGGGCATAGCCAGCACTGATCTGGCCAGGATGGTTCAGGATAATCACCTGAGCAGTGAAACCAGTTGCTTCCATTGGTGGGTCACTTTGCTGTCACCAGCCATGTTGCCATGCTGGACATCTTTGATGGACACGTTCTTGACGTTGAAGCCCACATTGTCCCCAGGAAGAGCTTCACTCAAAGCTTCATGGTGCATTTCAACAGACTTGACTTCAGTTGTGACATTGACTGGAGCAAAGGTGACCACCATGCCAGGTTTGAGAACACCAGTCTCTACTCAGCCCACAGGGACAGTGCCAATACCACCAATTTTGTAGACATTCTGGAGGAGCAGGCGCAAAGGCTTGTCAGTGGGGTGAGTGGGTGGGAGAATGCAATCCAAAGCTTCAAGTATTGTGGTTCCACTGGCATTGCCATCCTTATGAGTGACCTTCCATCCTTTGAACCAAGGCATGTTAGCATTTGGCTCCAGCATGTTGTCACCATTCCAACCAAAATTGGCAGAAAAGCTATGGTGTCAGGGTTGTAGCCGATTTTCTTAATGTAGGTGCTGACTTCCTTAACAATTTTCTCATATCCCTTCTGGCTGTAGGGTGGCTCCGTGGAATCCATTTTGTTAACTCCAACAATTAGTTGTTTCACACCCAGTGTATAAGCCAGAAGGGCATGCTCATGGGTCTGCCCATTCTTGGAGATACCAGCTTCGAATTCACCAACACCAGCAGCAACAATCAGAACAGCACAGTCAGCCTGAGATGTGCCTGTAATCATATTTTTGATGAAGTCTCTTTGTCCAGGGGCATCGATGATGGTCACATAATACTTGCTGGTCTCAAATTTCCACAGGGAGATGTCAATGGTGATACCACACTCACGCTCGGCTTTCAGCTTGTCCAGCACCCAGGCATACTTGAAGGAACCCTTCCCCATCTCAGCAGCCTCCCTCTCAAATTTTTCAATGGTTCTTTTGTCGATGCCACCGCATGTGTAGATCAGATGGCCGGTAGTGGTGAACTGGCCAGAGTCCACGTGTCCGATGATGACGATATTAATGTGGGTCTTTTCCTTTCCCATGTTGGCTTCGATTTAGTGGTGGCTTTCACTACACCTGTGCTCTCGCAGCAAACCTGTTGCGAAAAAGCGCAAAGGCATGTTTGTAATCCAGCTTCTGTACATCATAAACTTTTTCTGTCAACCTAAGTAAAAGCTACAATTTGATTACAATGGACATTATGGTGAATATTTACCTACCTATGTGCATAAAAATAGCAAATTATACCACCTACATACACAGACAAGAAACTTTTCATATATTATTTTCACTCATTCATTCAAACAAAGGATGATTATTGTGTGTTCACTATGCAATAGCTGCTGTGATATCTTTGTTGTGAGCCTACAATCTATAGGCCATGCTCTGTATTTAGTCCTAAATATAAACTCTTTCATATAAGTACTCATTATTGCCAACTGGTAGATTAGTAAAAGGAAGATCAAAAAAGCTAAATACTTGTTCCATTTTACATTTCTAGTATAAAGGAACTTTGGAATGGTAACTTTTCTATATAGATGTAAAACTTAAAAATCTGTTGCTAATAATTTAAAGGTTGTCTAATTCCCAGGTTTGAGACTGAGTGAAAAATATTTGTCTATTATGCACACACACACACACACACACACACACACAAGCACATGGTATTTGACATTTTAATTCTGTTTCTTCGTTACTGTCCACCAGCACTACTTTCATTTATTTTATACTCTATAGTTTCAAGATTGTTTCTTGCTTCTAACTTTCTCCAGTGAGTTGTGGATCTCAAGAATATAAAGTAGATTAGTTAGCAAGGTCAATAATGCACTTCAAAGCATTTGAGATATATAAACTGAAAGCTGTTATTCTTCCTGTAATAGAAGAATTGGTTGAAATGTTGAATTTCTATTAAAACCTTTCATTGGCCATATGAATTAGTGCCAAAAATGTCTACACAACTGGTGGCTTATAGTATAGTGAGGGTTTCTAAAATAACATCTAAACAGCAGGAGATGCAGGTATTTTTCAGAGTCAAAGAGGACTGAAGCAAAGGGGTCATGCACCTTGCAGTAAGGTGAGACATCAGTTATGCCCCATAGGCTGTTCAAAGGGGCACAGCAGCTGTGAAGACAGGGAAGCTGGAATGAAGCCACATAACATATGCCTTCATTTCATTCATGGAGCAAACTGAGCACCAAGCAGATGGCCCCTCACTTTGATGAATGATCAGAAGGGAAATCCATGGATGCCATAGAAATAGGAGTGTACAAAATGCTTTTAGGGGGCCACATGTCAGGCATAGCACCAGATGGGATCATTACCTCCCTCTTCTTACCTTTATATCAAAATCCAGTGAAGAAATTGCAGCTCGGATGGATTGTAAGTAAAGGACAAACAGGATCAAGTGTGTGTATTAGGATGGAGTGAATGTCTTTTTCTTCCTTACCACACTTCCCAGCCAGCCACACAGCCCCTCATTCTTTCAATTCAGAGCCCTCCTGCTCAGATGTTTATAGTCTCTCCAAAGTCTATTCCTGATTCTTCTGGACAGCCTGAACTCATCAGTTCTGCCCAAATTCCACAAATCTTTCATTTTCATGGCCCAGAGGGACTATTTCTTCTTAATTCCAGACTTACTCAGTTTGTATCAGCCATTATTTTTTAAATAATAAATATAGTATATGATATTTATTCTTTTTATAGATAAATTCATTCTTAACTATTAGTAACTTGAGATCCAAGCAGATTTTTTGTATACACCAGACATTATGACTATCTTCTTTGTGCCAATTAAGGCCTCAATGTTGATATTTTGTCACAGTTGACATTAAAAAAAAAATCTTTAACCCCTGAGAGCACATTGAATTTTGAGAAGCAGAATTAGATTGCAACAAGAATCATTGAGAGGATTAAGTTCTTGAAAAGAGGTACCACTGTATAAAGTGCCTGGACTATTTGGAAGCTATCATAGTATCTATAGACTGACTACTGAGTTTGAAGTAACTGACAGTTCTTGTTTTGCCAATTACTCTTTTTTAAAATACATAGAAGACTGTTATTAGCATTTCTAGGATGGGCCAAGACCTCATTCTATAAAATAGAATGGGTTCTCAATGGCCTGAGCAGAAGTGTAGGCTCCATTTACAGGCAGACATCAGCAGAAGAGGCAGAGATAGACAAAAGGCAGAGAGTGTGGTCTTTGCCAAGGTGCTTTCTTTGGATGGTGAATATAAGGGGCTCACTTCTGATGCTGACTCAGCCAGTCAGGGCCTGCATCTCTTCTAATCAGGTGTGTGGATCTCCTGTAGTTTGGCAAACTGACCCACGTCCAAGTTCAGTTTGCTTATGTGGCCCCTGGCATGGTGGCTCCATCCCTGCTCTGGGATGGTCTATTGGACCTAATTGGGAGCTCAATCCGCACAGTAGCCTCCCACACAGTTTGTTGAGCAGGCTTTGTAATAAATTATTATTATTTTCCATAATTTTATTGAGAAATAAATAGTAATGAGACAGTTCAACTCCGATTAGTAGGACATTTTCAATAATTAATGCATTGCATATTGTTGTCTTAGTTGTATTCATTGTTCAAGATGCAGACATGATATCCTGTTCACAAGCACTATTAGAACAAATCTTTCTATTCATTGAATTGACAGAATGGAGCTGTATATCTATCCTATTTTGAATATACAGATACAAAATGGTCATTCATTTGTATTTCCTTTTTTTGTTTAGTTTTGTCATTTAAATATTATAGGTGTGTGAATTCAGAAAAATATTCCAAAATAGTCCAGTAGTCCATAAAAGTGGTGGGTTTCCCATAGGACTGGTAATGTCAGAAGTTGTTGACTTGAGCCTTTTACAGCTCAGCATATTGATACGGCTTTACTTTTTATACTTCGTTTTTATACTTTTCTGCTGGATGGTTAAGACCAAGATTTAAAAAAAGACCTATATAACAAAAAATGTATCTTTTGTATCTGATAAGGTCAGTCAAATCCCCTCCAGACTTATCCTGAAACCCTGTACCGCAGTTTGTAGATCCTTTTTCAGTGTCAGCCATATGGCAGTGTCAGTCATGGCCATTGCTTGACCAATTTGCTCTCTGTGAAAGCCTGAGAGAATGTTTTCTCTCCATGTGACTCTCCTTATTTCCTATCACTCTTGATTACATTCTTTTTTTATTCTTCGGGACTTCTTTGGTCATTAGAGACAGAGATCCACTCTAAAAACGAAATCTGTAACAAAGCTCTGAAGCATACTTGAGCAATTCACAGACCTAAAGAAAATATAAAGTTTATATTCTCAAGAGACTTTAGCCAGACATTTAAAGCCACAAGACTCCTCTGTCT